GGTGACAGGAATTGCAGCTTCTGAAAGATCAAAAAGTAGTGTCTGGCATTAATTCCATAAAATCTCAAGGACTACCCACTTTTCTGACACCATTTATACAGTTAGACCATTGTTGCTGGAGGTATGCCAAAGATTTTCTGTTAGGGCAAGGCTTTGCTTTCTCTGTATTACTCCTAACAGGACAAAAGTTAGCCTATTAAAAAACTTCCAGAAAAAAAAGGGTTATTTCCTTAGTGCTGAGGTTAGTCTGTTGTTTTGTGATTGTAAAGGAAATCTTGGAGCTTAAATGCTGTAATGAAAACCTACAAAAAGACTGCACCAATGAAAACCACACAAAAAAAATTAATTTATGTAGCCTTATTCCCAAAAGTCTAGGTATACATCTCAAATCATTAGTGCAGAAGAAAGTGCTACAATTTTTCCTTGCTCAGCCTTAAAGATTGTCATTCTGATGTAATTGTATTCCTGGGTTCTGCAAATTGCTGCTACTTACTTTAAAAATCAAGTTAACTAGAAGACCTTGTAGCTTTTGTGGAAAACGCAGGATAAAAATATTGATGGGAGATTCTGTCTCAGCTACAAAGTACCTGGGAATTTTGAATGTGACACTGTAATTCTCTTGCCTCACCTTTTAGAATCATTGAATTTTAGAATCATTTAGGCTGGAAAAGACCTTTATTGTCATCAAGTCCAACTGTTAACATGGCACTGCCAAGTTCAGCCCTAAACCATGTCCCTAAGTGCCACATCTGTATCTCTTCTAAAACTCTCCAGAGGTGGTGATGCGACCACTTTTCCAGGCAGTCTGTTCCAGTGCCTGACTGTCCTTTTGGTGAAAAAGATTTTTCCTAATATCTAAATCTCCTCTGGTGTAACTCCAGGTAATTTTCTGGGGTTCTATCACTTGCTACTTGGGAGGGGAGACTGATCCCCACCTGGCTACAGCCTCCTTTCAGGTGGTTGTAGAAAGTGATAAGGTCAGCCCTGAACTTCCTTTTCTCCAAGTTAAACACCCTCATCTCCTTCAGCTGCTACTCACAGGATTTGTGCTCCAGAACCTTAATAAGTTCCACTGTCTTTATCTGGACTCACTTGTTTGACTCCAACATCTCAATGTCTTCTAGTGAGGGGCCCAAAACTGAATGCACAATTTGAGGTGTGGCCTCACCGGCGTTGAGTCCAGGGGGACAATCACTGTCCTGGTCCAGCTGCCACACTATTGCTGATACAGGCCAGGATACCATTGGCCTTCTTGTTCAGCAGCTGTGGACTAGCACCCCCAAGTCATTTTCTGCCAGGCAGCTTTCCAGTCACTCTTCCCTGAGCCCGTAGCATTGCCTGGGATTGTTGTGACCCAAGTGCAGGACTTGGTACTTGGCCTTGTTAACCCTCATACAACTGGCCCTGGCCCATGAATCTGGCTTGTCCAGATCCTTCTGCAGAGTCTTCCTGTCCTCCAGCAGATCAACTCTCCCACCCAGCTTGGTGTTATCTGTGAACTTACTGAGGGAGCACTCATTCCCCTCATCCAGGTCATCAATATTTACTGAGCTGAGCTGGCCCCAGTATTGAGCTCCAGGAAATACCGCTGGCACCTGACAGCCAGCTGAATTTGACACCATCTACCACCCACTCTCTGGGCCCAGCCATCCAGCCAGTTTTTTACCTAAAGAACAGAGCACCTCTCCAAAACATGAGCAGTCAGTTTCTCCAGGAGAATTCTGTGGGAGACAGTGTCAAAGGCTTTAGTAAACTTCAGGTAGACAACATCCACTGTCTTTCCCTCATCCACTAAATGGGTTGCCTTGTCATAGGAGGAGATCAGGTTGGTCCAGCAGGACCTGTCTTTGACAAACCCAGGTTTGTTCTGGCTGGGCCTGATCCCCTGGCTGTCTGTACCTGCTGCATGACAGCACTCAAAATGATCTGCTCCATGACCTTCCCCAGCCCTGAGGTGAAGCTGACAGGCCTCTAGTTACCCAGATCCTCCTTCCAGCCCTTCTTGTAGATGGACAACATATTTGCCAACTTCCAAACACCTGGCATCTCCCTGGTTAGCCAGGATTGCTGATAAATGAGGGAATCTGTCTCAGTCAGCCTTTCCACCAGTTCCTTAAGTATCCATGTGTGGATCCCATCTGGTCCCAGAGGTTTGCATGTGCGTAAGTGCTGTATCAGGTCTCTGACCTTTCACTTTGGATTATGGGAGTTCTGCTCTCTGTCCCTGTCTTCCAGCTCAGGGGGCTCAGTGCCTGAAGAGCAATTGGTTTTTCTATTAAAGACTGAAACAAAGGCAGCATTGGGCATCTCAGCCTTTTCCTTATCCTTTGTCACTATATTTCTCTCTCCATTCAGCAGAGCATGGAGAGTCTCCTTAGCCTTCCTTGTGTTGCTGATGTATTTATAGACATATTTTTATTGCCCTTTATGGCAGTAGCCAGATTAAATTCTAGATGGGCTTTAGCCCCTCTGAATTTTCTCCCTGCATAACTTCATGACATCTTTGCAATCCTCCTGAGCTGCCTGCTGATTCTTCCAAAAGCTATAAACACTCCTTTTTTTCTGGAGTTCCAGCCAAACCACTCTGTTCAATCAGGCCAGTTTTTTTCCCTGCCAGCTTGTCTTTTGGCATATGGGGATGGGCTCTCTGGTGCCTTAAGATTTCTTTCTTGAAGAATGTCCAGCCTTCCTGGACTCCTTAGCCCCTCAGAACTGCCTCCCAAGGAACTCCTTCAACCATCTCCTAAAGAGGCCAAAGTCTGCCACTCCAGAAGTCTGAGGCAGCAGCTCTGCTGGCCCCCCTCCTTATTTCTCCAAGAAGGTAAAATTAATTAATTTGTTGTCACCTGCAAACTGCCTGAGGGTGCCTTCCTTTGCTCTGACCAAGATGGCCTCCAGCTGTTACATCACCCCCAAGTCGTTCTCTGTTCATGAACAGCAGGTCCAACAGGGCATCTTCCCCAGTTGGGACCTTCACATGCTATGTCAAGATGTTATGAACTTCCATACACTCCAGGAGCCTCCTGGACAGTTTCCTCTCTGCTGCAGTGTATTTCCAGCAGATGTCCGGTAAGCTGAAGTCTTCTGCCAGAGCAAGGGCCAGAAATCATGATGCAGCTCCCAGTGACTAATTCAATATTTCATCTGCCTCTTCATCCTGGTTTATAACAGTCTCCCACAAGGATATCTGCCCTGTTAGCCTTTTCCCTGATTCTTAACCACAAACACTCAACTCTGTCATCACCATCATTAAGCTCCAAACAAACCGCTCCTTAACAGACAGGGCAACTCCGCAACATTTTCCTTGCCTCTCTGTTCTGAACAATTTAGAGCCATCCAGCACTTCAGATGTGTGAGTCATTCTCCATGTCTCCATGAGAGCAACCATGTCATGGTTTTCCTGCTGTTCAATGGCTTCCAGCTCCTCCTGTTTGTTGCCCATGCTGTGTGCATTGGTATAAATGCACTTCATTTGGGCTATTGTTCCTGTTACTTTAGTAAGGAAGAAGCTCTAATTCTTACATGACCATTCTCAGGCATTTCGGTGGTTTCTAACACATCAATATTCCATTGTGTCTTAGGTGCCACATGGATCTCCATCCCCTACCTCCACTGAGATGGCAAACCAAAGGACATCTCTCATGCATTTAGTGCATAGTCCCTCAAACATCAGTGTGCCACCCTAGGCTTATCTCTAGAGGGCCTGGTTTTATTCCTTTATAAGAGCTAAGCCTCTGGGAGATAGTCACTTGCCCAACAGTGATCAGGTATCTCTGGTGTTACTCAAGTATTAACTGCATATTAGTCACCCGTTAACAGAAAGGTTAAACCAGAACTGCATGACCAGCCAGCACTCAGAGAGATAAAGAGGGTGTGAGCCAAACAACGTAATCTGCAAAACTCTTCTACTCTTTGAACACATGTACGGAGAAAAACACATTTTATTGAAGTAGTCCATTCAGATCACAGCATTTAGATTTGTGGCTCTCAGCAATGTCTGCAACAGGTGAAAAACTGAACTGCGAGCAGGAAACAAAGAGATTTCAAAGAGCATATTGTGAGGAAGTCAGTCCTAGGGAAAACATTATTGCTAAATATGCAGATTTAGTGTGTATTCAGGGATATCTAAAATTTATCTTCGATTTTGAAAACTTATTTGGATTAAAATAACATAGAGCTAAATTAGTACTATTGATATGAATAATCATCATAATATAAAAAGGCACAAATACCTCAGTTCTAAATTTATTCATCTGCCTTTGAAAAAATTCATGAGCTCTTGTTAAAGTGAATGTATTCTGTTTTCTTGTCAATTTTGCTCCTCATTTTTGCACATTTCTTCTTTTAAGAAAAATTCCAGCATTTTGAATCATGTAGCTCACTACATTGTTAAAAATGCTTATAAATTGCCTGTGATATATCCACTGATGATGGGTGACATGCAGACATTAGATAAGAAAACTATTTTCATTCTTTGTATGAAGAAGTCACTATAAAAAGTATTTTGAACAGGCATTGTCTGGTTTTAAACATATCTTTAGATGAGGTTTCGTTAAAAATACTATAGTAATTAAAGATGCTACTGTGTTGAGAAGAACTTAGCAGAACTGTAAAGCTAATATTGAAAAAATGGTAAAATTGAAGTTTCAGTCCCATACATAGCCCTGTTATTCTCAACACCAATGTGTCTCTCAAAAATTTCTCACAATGTGCCCTCCTTGGCTAACCAATTGAACACATCTTCCAAATGGCAAGTGCCTAGCACAAAATGCCACTTCCTGCAATTTAAATAAAGGGTTCCAGGCTGCTTTGTATCAGACAGATATGGCATACTAGCTAAGCGCATGGTTATCTCCATAGTTCCATGATGCTTGTTGACAGCACAGCACTTTTCCTGCCTTGGCTGTTGCATAGATTTCATGAGCCCCTCTTCCAACGTACTTGCATTCAACTCATTTCTGCTGAACACTTTTAAGTATCCTTTTATTCTTCTCCCCTCATCCATTTTGTGTAATACCTTAAATATATGCTCTGAGCCTGCGAACTCTGATAATATGCCTTCGTCAGTCATACAGGTTAAATGAAGTATGAATAGAAGGTAAGTGGAAGGTAATAGGATGGAATTAATGTCGTTTTGGAGGATCTTGATTTCCAGACATTAGACCTGTGTTTCAGCCTCTAATGCCCTGAAAATAAAAGGTCATGGATGGACACAAATGTTATATTACTGCTTAAGACAAATACATCAGGATGACATATTACTACTAAATCCGTTATCCATTCATTTAATAGATAAAACAATTCAACTGTTTCTCTACTCTGAAAAAGCCATACCATGCATCACATCTGATCCTGATTTATTGGTGTTCGTCTTCCCCAATATATGTGGAGTCATTTTGGCAGGGGCTGGCATTCTCTCATCTGTTGTATCCTGATGCACATCTGCTCAGAAGTGTCACATGTAGGTCAGGCACAGCCAGAGCCACAGACAAATAGTACAAAGGCAGATGGTTACCAACTGCACTATGGACAAGATGTTGGCTAAACAAGGTAAACAGTTGCTTTGCTCTCAAATATATTCCCAATTTCAATAAGGATTTTTCCACCATCTTTTTAAAAATGGTGACAAACTGGCAGACTCCTGACAAAGATTTCTCTATGGCATGCTGCAACTTATAATTGTCAACAACCATTGTTATTTGCTGGAGCTTTAGCAGCATCGTATACTTTAGTTATAAATTGTTCACATATCACTCTTCAGAGAAGTCATAAAGGGTACCATTTTTTTATAAAGAAAGACAAGAAGGAATCTTTCCATCCTGATCTCTAGTGTAAATGTTAAACCCATCACTGACACCTAATCCAAAATTAATTACATATTCTGGCACTATTGGTGCTAGAGTTCATCTCTCTGTTACTTCCCATGTTTATTATCTTGACAGTTTTTTCTTCATGGCAATATGATAGTTTACCTCAAAATGTTGAATCATGCTTTTAAATGCAGAACTAGAGTTCTGGCTAAATACACTAATTTTAGATCAGTCAATAACCTGAATATGAAAGTTGTTTTATATCAGTTAGGATGCTGCTTGAGGTTTTGGTATTTTGGGATTGATTTCCAGTGTCTACGTGATATGCTTAGCAATACTAATGATGAACTGATAATTATAGCTTGGGCTATTGTGTGATGTTTAAAATGTGATGAGTGTTTACTCTGTAAATCTTGAGAACAATTCTGTATCAACTAGTCATTATTTAGCTTCATGAAAGACTACTACAAGTAAATCATCAATTATATGTGAAGATTAATGCTAGTTTCATGGTCATTGGCCTTTTGTCCAGTCATCTGTATTGAGTGAATAAACTGGTAGAAAATAATTTTCCCTAGCCCTTCTAAAAAGAGTTTCAGTTGTGTTGATATGCAATGAAATGTGCTATTGAAATAATATTTCAGATTAATATTTACAGGCATTTCTGTTCTGTACACATACATTGATTGCATTCATCTGCACTGTGCAGACATGCACATTTTTTGTTGGCTAGTGATAATAGTAATTATAATAGCAATGCTAATACTGCTCTTCTGTGTGAGGCATGTTGATATCTCTGGGTGAAAAGTGCTATAGAAGAAGTCGGAAATTTATTGTTGCATCATACAGGTTACTCTGTTCTGTGATGTAGTAACATTCCAGAACAGCAATGTTGTCAAAATTGTTACTATATGATGCTATCACAATTACTATATTTCCAATAATTTTTAAAATTTTGGGGTTAGATATAGTAATATTTTGAATTTTTTTACACTTGCTTTTGTTTAAATGGACAGAACATGAAGTGTACAGAGAAGTCAGGATTATATGGGAAGATACTATTAGATGATACCATTATCTATGTGTTCATTTATTTTCCCATTCTGAGTGCGGATGATTGGACTCAAGCCTTACATTTTCAGATTTCAAAGACATGTGATGACAAGAAGCACAGCTCAGCCAAAAGTCCTGTTTGCTTCACTGCCATTTTGCCTCTGTAACATCTGCGAGATCTGTGCCCCATATAAATTCCAGTTCCTTTGATGTAATAAATACTATCTGCCATTTTTGTACCACTACTAAATACCAGGAGATGTGATATTTAGTCGACATGATCAGCACTACATCTGACTGTGTTGCTCAAGAAAAGCTACCCTTCTACTTTGCATCAGTACACAGCTACCCCTACATAAAAATTCCTTAGCAGAAATCTCTTATTCAGTGAAGTACCCCAAATTGGTAAACACTAGTTGAAGAGATCCCTATCTGCTTTGTGAGTGCCCCTGTTAGCTGCCAGGATTTGTAAATACAGCAAATGGTATTTTTAATATGTTTGAATCACATTGTGAAATCAGTTATTTTGTGGAATGGCTGTTTTATAATATGACTTTGACATCTACAATATTGGACTTTCTCAAGAGGAGACAAACTGACAGGATACATACTGAGAAAACTGAAAGGTCTGTGTGCAACTCCAGATTTGCTGAAGAACTAAAAGGACTGGAAAACTATTCATATTCCCTTTCTTTTGGCAGCTTATTCACAATGATGGCACACCCAATATGTAAAGTTGTTGCAGTTGAGACGGACACATCGCGACATTCCACAGTTCCGGCAGCGAATTTTATTGAGTGACGCTCCTTCTTATAGGGTTTTCAAAAAACCCGCACAGTTGATCCTAATTGGCTAAATGTGGCTATCACCCAGCTCACTGGCCAATAGCTGCCTGTGCCCATGCTTGTCAGGGATTGGCTGGTGTTGTTTAAATTTAAATTTCCTGGCTTCTCATTGCCTTCCTCCCAGGGATGTTTACCTCTTTTCCGTAATGGCTTAGACTGGCCAAGTTATAATCAGGTTTATCTATGACTATGAGGCCTCCAGGCCAGCTGTCAGCTGCTACATAAAGTCAAATGGCTTCTGCTTAATGATCTCAGAGACAGAGGGGAAAAGCACTGACGTCATTGATGTCTCCAGGATTTTGGCATTTGATTTCAATGGGTGGGCACAGAGGATCGCAAGCTACGGGGCATTGCAAACTACACTTGTGATGACTGGATATTGCATGCATAGTTATGGGACAGAGCATTGGGAGCTCCAGTAACACACAGGAAACCTTGCAATGTATAAGAAAAAGAAGAAGGCACTACATAACTTTGGAAAAGTGCATATAAATTATCTAGATTCCACATACCAAATGGGAAATACTAATTTTTTTTTCACTGTACTTTTGTACAAATGGCTGTATGTTCTGTGTGCAGCAGATGCACAAAGACAATTGCATGACAGGTTCATGTGCATGCCTCTAAGATCCTGAAAAAACCGCCTGTCCAGACCACACCCCTTGTTGGAAGATGCCACCAGGTTCATTTAGCTGTTAAGTACTAGGATGTCATCCTGACACAACGCTAAGTTGTGGTCAAAAACACTCCTGTCTCCACCCATTTACATGCGGATTTCACTTGGGACTCTAAAGGATATTTGAAGAAGAATAGACCTCATTTACAATTTTCTCCAAGGACATTAGGAGAGGAGCTGGCTTTCCTCAGTCTGTGGTCTGAGGATGTGTTACTCACATCCCCAGTGTGCTACTGGGGACAGCAGACTATGCATCAAACTTACTGTGGAAAAGTTGGAGTGGAGAAACAGTTCACTAAATTGTCTGTGCCTCTCCTTCTAGATGCAAGCAAGTAGATTAACAGCTGTGCTTGTGCAGTGCTTTGAAATCTACAGATTATATTTAATGTCTAAAGTCATGTGCAGTGCTAAATACTTTTATTGTCCTCTGAAATTAGAAACACCTTTGAAACAATTTCAAACCCTTCTCCCACACAGTCAAATAAAGGAAATTAATCTTGGCCACAATTAACTTTCTATGCTCATTTCTCAACCTGCTCCATCTGCTACTTCATCTGACCTGTTCCTACACTTCACTGATCAAATGCAGTTGCAAACTTATCCATCATCTTACAGCATAATGAAGTGAAAACCTTTTCTGAATCAATCTGTCATGTGAGCCATAATTTGGAGTTCAAAAGATTGCATCCAAGACCATTTTAAGCTTTAATCACAACCATGTTGAATGATGGTCTACTTTCCGTTAGCAAATGTGTCTCCCCTTTGCTGCTCAACATTTTCAATGAGTCCAGAAATTCTATAGTTTTAATAAACATTTCAAATTGATCAAAAATTATAAAAAACCCAATCAGTAACTACAAAAAATCACCCCACAATAAACCAAATAATTTATCTTAAATGACCTTGTTCAATAGCTTAATGTCTAGATTCTTATTTGAGGTAAGTACAAGAGAAAACATGATAGCAAAATTATCTCAGAAACCTGAAAGCACATGCTGGAAGCAAAAGTGAAAAACCAAATATGATTATATATGGGGTATTGCCTGTATCCTTCAATTTTTCCTCATATCATCTGTTGTTACATAAAGACTAGTTCAAAACAGCCTGCAAAAAAGGAATCATACACCATTTCAAGCATAAGACTGAAGTAATCAAGAAGCAATATAGCACTGATACACTAGAGCCAAAACCTGACATCATTGGTTTTCAATACTGTTGTCAGATAATATTAATAGTAACTGAATTCAGCATCTGCTTCTCAGGAAGGAAAAACAATCTTTCTCCACTAGTCCTCATATCCACAATATGTAATATTAAATTCAGAATGGCCAAGCTGTAAAATACCTTACAAAGAGCAAGGAGCAGGGAGAACCTTGAGGAACACAGGGAAAACTAGAGGAGAACAAACAAAATCAGACCTCCACCAGCTCATAAAGGTGAAGAGCAGCAAGGATCAAAGCATTCAACAGCCTCCTTCATCACTAAACCAGGTTAATTAAGACTAGATATTTATCACTATTTTAATAAGGGATTAGAAATGCAGGCTGTACTTTCAAAGAACAGTGTAAACAACATTTAGATAAGTAGAATAATTCAAATTGGTAACACCCAATGAAATACACACTGGCAGATCTTGCAGAAGCTATTTGTGTTCATCAATTGTCTACAAGAGGTGATAGGATGCCTTAGAGAAGGGTAAAGTGGCAACATGGCCTACATTTTTACAAGGTGGAGGACAGTCTGAGGAGCAAGAGCCCAAGGAATGTAACTTCAGTGCATAGAATAAGTTATTGAGCAAACTTATTAAGCAAACACCACTGAAGCACCCAAAGGATAATACAGTGATTGAAAATTGGTAATCCTGAGTTATTGAGAAGAATCATGTCAAACCAATCTCCAAAGTAATGTTTTTTGTCAGATCTGCCTGCCCTGTATGGCTGTATGTCCTGTATGGCTGTCCTGAGGGCACCACTGTGCAGTTCAGACAACAAATTCAACACGCCACTCATTGCCCACTTGGCAAAGAGCCAAAGAGGTCTTCAACCTCTGCCCACTGTAACAGCAGCTTAGATACCTGGCTCATGGGCGGACATGCACACTGAAGGAAAAACACTTAGAGTTGGTTTTGGTTTTGTCAAACATGGATGTGTTTCAAATAATGTTCAGCAGAGGTTTACCATAAATTTTGTTAAGAGACTGCAGAATAGAACTGAAAAACAATTTTTTTCTGCCATTCATAGATGACAGCGTACTGGGAAGGGATGCAAGTGCTTTGGAGGACAGGGATAACATTTTAAAATTTTTTGACAAGCTGCAGAAGTGATCCAATCTCTGCAGGGTGTTCAGTAAAAAGAAATTCAAAAAGCTTCCTTTAGTCATAAGATGAGAATACAGAAATGCACAGTGAAGAACTAGCAGTAAGTCACCATTAGAGTGGAAAATAATTCAGCAATTGCTGTGATTCACAAGCTAAAAATGTGTGTGTGATGGTGCCGCAGAAAAGACAACTCCCATTCTTGGATACACTGGCAGGAATGTCATGTGCAAGACACCAGAAGTATTTAACATTCCCTGATCCATAACGATAAGTTTCCTGCTAGAGTGTTACTCTATCCAGGGCTGAAAACCACACTTTAAAGAAAGACATGACAAGCTGCAGAGAGAGTGGAGGAGAAAAATAACTATGACAGGAGAGCTACAAAATATTATTTCTGTATAAATTAGAGAATTTTGCTGTGTTTACTGTGGGGAAGACTCAGGGGGTAGGAGGGAGAGGAGGACAGGAGTCCATACAAGCCCTCCAGCTTATCAGGTTATAATGAGAGGGAGGGAGATAAAAATTCCTGTCTGCTAAGGCAAGTACACAATATAATTTGCTTGATTTGAATCAGTGAGATGTATTTAAATCCTGGAGCCTTTTATGAGAGATTTTAGGTAACAGGTTTGACAAAACAGGATGGTTAATACAGCATCAAAGCAACAGAAGATGCATCCACAGCTTTTCTGTGGGGAGGTGCTAGAAATGGCAAAATTGCCCCAGAAACCATTGCTCACTCCAACATCCCCCTACTACAGGGAAACAGAAAGAAACCTTGAGGGGTTGAGGAAGTGTGTGACAAGTGGCTGAGAAGATCTTGAATGGTCCGGGCAAAGGGCAGCTGAGGAGTAGCCCTGGTTTGGTGGCCTTCCTTTGCAGGGGACAGGCATTTCCC